TGGCCAATACTTGGCTGATTTTGATTCTGAAAGTACAAATTTGCACAAAAGGCACAAGGTCTCCTATATTCGTTAAATAAATTAATTCCGTGCAATTCCTATTGTGCACACCAACTGTGTAGCTATGTAGCTGTGTAGACAAGCTTTTTATCCACTGCTCATTATTATTATTATTATTTATTGCTGTTTCTTGTATTTTTTGTACTTTTTTTCTGCATGCCTAGTTTTTTTAAAGTTTTTTTAAAATATTGAAATCTTTAATTTGACTCTTTACCCTTGACTGCTGTAACACTGAAATTTCTCAATTGTGGGATCAATAAAGGTGTATCTTATCTTATCTTATCTTATCGGCCCTCATGCAGAGTGCAGCTCCAGAGCTTTTTGTGTGTTGCCCTTGTAAAAAGCAGCCAATGGGCCCACTCGGCTTGCTCTCACTCACGCCATGTCTTTGATTTTTGTGGCCAGAGTTTGATATGACTTAGACTGCTTCATGTGGCAGCTGGTTCAAACCCCTATTGACTTTGCTCACATACCCTCAGGCACACACACACGCACTACTCATATTGAGCCTCTCCTTTCCATAGTGTTATTTTAACAATGACTCCCCCCAAATCCTTGCTTTGGACACCACTTATATAGATAGTGCCAAGAGAAGGATTAGTGTTTTATACCACATATTAACATTCTGCTAGATCCCCCTGTGGTTTCAGTTTCTGTGGCTCAACACTGGATGAATTCAGTACAACTTTGTCATCCTCGCCTTTGAGGGGGATGTTAACATTTCTCTGTCTTAATCACTCATACACCAGTTCTAAGCCATTAACCAATTTCTGACTGATAAACTCTCTGCACTCCAGGTCTTCACAACAGCTGCTAATTACCAAAATGTCCCAAACATTTGCTATGTGGGTAATTCCCAAAGAAATAACATTGTCTACTAGTAATCACATGCTCACACATAAAGGTTCAGTGTCACTTCAAACCCTGAGCTGCCCATCTTTTCCACAATGGGACAAAACAAACAGAGTCTTAATGTTGACAGGCTGCATTGTTGCTTTACTTTATAAAATTCTCATCTGTACCTCCCTTTCTCAGTCTCTCCCTCCATCCTTCCTCTCCCCCCCCCCCGTGCTTATTAGTTAATGAATTGTTGCTCCTGAGGGCGATGGGAAAGGAAAACAGGCTGGCTCCAGGCAGAGAGCTGGCCAGCCACTCAGGTTTCAAAAACACTGGCTCCTGTTGCTCTGACAGCCAATTTGTCCCAGCCTGCCCCCAACAAAAGGCCACATCTGGCCATTAGATCCCAGGGTTTGAAGGAAAATGTGGATAGACTGTACCAGATTTGTCCTGTTTTGTTTATGTGTTGAGCTGTTGGCACTGTGCTCTTGGTTGTGAGTTTACTAACACTCTCAGCCTACATTTACAGTAGTGCTGGAATGGTGACACAGTCTGATTGATTGTCATGTCTGGCCCAGAATGGTTTTCAGTGCCCAAAGTTCTCACTTCCATTCAGAAATTGAATTTAAATATTCGGAGTGGGTTTCAACCATATGTATCACAGGTAGGGCTAGTCATACACTGCTCCACATCTTTTTCCTGACATCCTACCAATGTATCCTGTCCTGTTTTATTCTAAAGTCTACCAAGCAATGAGATAAGGGAGGGAGTTCACACCACAGTCTCACCACCCTGCTGTGTTTCTAAAGCCTTCTAACTGCAGATATAACTAGGCCTCTGCAGGTTTGCTCTTTACCCCATTGCTGATAGAGGTTGTAGTGTAATATTCTTATACACTTGTCTTTTTGACTGTGAATCATTCATAGATAGGTTCCATGGAAAAATAACTGCAGTATTGACAGTGTGGGCGATATGGCCCTAAAATTATATCACAATATTTTAAGGTATTTTTGTGCTAATGATATTCTTGATAATATGACAAATGAGTAAAAAAATATTTTGTTATCAATTTAAGGACGTAGAATGTCAACCTAACAGTTTGCCTTCAAATATTCAGTAAAAACTAAACAAAAATAATCTCTTATGTCTGTAGTATGTAAACAACAACAGTAAGAGTGAGATTCAGATTCTGTATACAATATTAATACTACAGCAAAATAAAATCTACCACAAATTACACATTTAAACAGTTCCAAAATAGAACTCTCTCTCTCTCTTTCTCTCTCCATATA